AAAAGTACCAGCCACTCTATTTAGATCCATACCAGCTGAGATGATCTCTCAGTTCCACTCTATATGCATCCGAAGAAGTGGGCTGTAGTCCACGAAAGCTTATGCTCTAATAAATTTGTTAGTCTCTAAGGTGCCGCAAGTACTCCTGTTCTTTTTGCGGATACAGACTAACACGGCTGCTACTCTGAAACCTCTCAGTTCAGGCTACAGTCAAGTAGGGGATCCTGAGTTCTGTTCATAAACCACAAAACAGACAAATTCTTTTTCCTACAGCATGGCTTCTTAGCGTGATTTCAAAACATAGGCATCAGTCCCCCAGAGAATTCTGTGTGAGCAGACCCCTGCTTTCAGGTAGAGCTCCATTAACACTGAGCTCTGAGCAGCATTGATGCCTTAAATGGTCAGCTTCAAGTTTGTCCACAAAGGATGAGTGATGTTTCCCATTGTCTATATTCATACATGTAGATGGTGAGCTCTCTGGGGCAGAGGCTGTCTCTTTGTTATATGTTTGCACAGGGCCTAGCACAAAGGGATCCAGGTCTGTAAGTGCTGTTGTAATACTGGTACAACTCTAATATTAAGAATAATGGTTTCTTGCTACTGCAACATCTTGGACAGAATTGCACGCGTGAGACATTATGAACTGTAAAAACAACGAGGAGTCCCTGTGGCACCTAAATTTGTTAGTCTCTAAGGTGCCACAAGGACAACTCCATTGTTTTTGCTGATACAGACTAACATGGCTACCACTCTGAAATCTCTCATTATGAACTGTAGAATTGGAGGATGAAGCCAGCAGAAGCAAGTAGTCCCCAAGCAGAATCATTAGCCACGAAATGCATGGTTTGTCAGTGAATAAGTGCTTCCAATCTCTGATACTCAGTATTCAGAGTCATTATTATCTGAATTCCATTAACACCTCCTATGTACTATGCAACTTCCATGAAGACACAGGAACGAAGTGTTTTCTTACTTTGCGCTGCCACATATAACAAAGCGAGTAAGCCAATCCATTTCTGAAAGGTGGTAGAAAGCAAAGCACTACCCATAAACTAAACAAAATGACAACAGTAGGCAATAAAATCTGGCATGGGGGCCAGAAATATGCACTTATCAAATGAGATTATTTTATTACTTCACCTGGCTAAAATGAATCTGTTGGGTTTATCAGTGATTTATTTCTATGGAGACAGCAATGTTCAGGTAGAATAGTTAGGCTAACAACAAAATTTGGGCAAGATCTTGGGGTGCAACTGAACTGCAAAAAGGTAAAAACATTGTAAATTTCAAATACAGCCATACTTTCACAATGACTTTCATGTTGTCCAGTACATTTTAATTCATGACACAAATGAATCATTATAAATATTGTCTATATGTATTATCATACTCTGTTACAATATCCTGTTGCCTGTGCAGTCATTGTTGCTGGGAAAACGTTTGGAATCCATTTGAAAAAATGGTTATATTTTTCCTTTTGTAATTTTTGCGTCCTGTATCCCATGAGGATGGTGGGTATGTACAGGTATATTATAAAAACGTGGCAGTGATATTCATGTGAAAGAGTGCAGGGGCCATATGATAAATTACATTTATCATGCACTCTCGCCTCAACACTCTGCCCACTAATCCATCTCCCCTAGCATTTATTCTACGATTTCACCCCCTGAGCAGCTTCCTGCAGTTTCGTTGTCTTGAATACAAATACAACAGCAAAATCAATTCACCATCAAAATGTTTCTATTTTCCCCCTAAATGTGAGCATTTCTGCTCCAAAACAAAACCAGTTCAAAGCCCAGCAAAGGCAATGCTCAGTCCTGGTTACAGCAATAAATGTACTATCTCAATACCCTGTGACCCTTCAGGGCTAGAAACGGGAGTCTAATCCTTTTGGGGAGGGGCAATTCCCAGCATTCCATTTGCTCCAGTTTTGAAAACTCCCAGTGACTTTAAGGGAGTAAAATGGTACGTGTGGAACAGTTATTTTAGGTCATTTGGTGAGGTATCTTGTATATTTGGTTTAATTTTTCTCTCCTGCTGAGCCTTGGATTTCTAAGGTGAAATCCTGGCCCTACAAAGTCAGCAGGACTTTTGCCGTTGATTTCAGTGGAGCCAGGATTTTACCCATGGTAACAAAGGCACCTGGCTGCACAGGCAAAGGGGTGCAAGAAATAGTCCAAGTAAATTTATTTTAAAACTCTCCAAACCATGCCCAAAATAGTTTCTGTGCAATTATTATAATTATATTATAGCAGCACCCAGAGGCCAGGATCAGTTGGGCTAGGCACTATAAAATCTGTGTCATACCCAGAACAGAAAATGGTGTAAGATGGTAGAAACATTTGACACTTGAATAATTGCAAAACTGTAAGGGATGAACTGGCACAAACGGGTATGGGCTCTGATCATACATAATCATAAATACCACTTGTACAAGAGGGTTTTGACAACAAGAGACTTATAATTAAAGTATTGCAGTGTTCTAGTTCATCTCCCATTAGTATTTTTACCTGAGTTATCTTTTATTAAACACTGTGCCATTTAACAGCCACTCTGGAGGGTGAGAAACTGAGCCTGAGTAAAGTATCAGAATTTGTGTGAAACAGATGTTAGCCTTACATTTAAAAAGGTTTAGTGCTTCTGCTGATGTTAAGAGAAGGAAGCAGGTGACCCTATTTCCATTCATTATTTATCCATTTTGTGATTCTAAATAAAATCTAAATCTTCAGATTAAAGCTCTCCTCATAACTGTAACGTGCTGTCATCTATTCTCTGGGCAGACACTCATTACAGGGCACTTGAGAAAAGCTTCATCTATGACAACTGCAGCAAATGATAGCTTAAAGCAGTGGTTCTCAGCCAGGGGTCCAGGGCTCCCTGGGGGGCCATGAGCAGGTTTCAGGGGGTCTGCCAAAATAAACCAGAGAGCAGGGTCAGCATTAGACTCACTGGGGCCCAGGGTAGAAAGCCGAATCCTGAGCCCAAGCCCCAGGCTGAAGCAGAAGCCTGAGCAATTTAGCTTTATGGGGCCCCCTGTGGCATATAGCCCTGGGCAATTGCTCTGCTTGCTACCCCCTAACTCTGGCTCTGGCTTTTAATCCACTGAAAAACAGTTGTTGTGTACATGCTGGGCTGTGTAATTTTTATAGCATGGGGGGGGGGGGTCTGAAGGAAAAAGGTTGAGACCCCTCTGGCTTAAAGAACAAGTGGGGCTCCATTGTCGGTTCTTTCAGTTTGCCTCAACACGTCCCCATAGTCACACAGACCTGGAACCAAGGGCTGAGATTGTTTCTCTGTGGAGAGGCACATAGGTCATTCATGCTTAGTTCCTTTTTCACACCTAGAAGTGTCTCTCCAAGTTTTCCAATTGTTTAAAAGTTGTGTAATCTTTACCCCTCTTCCCAATCACTGGGATCTGGATCTACTCTTCACCCCCTCCTTTCAAACCCATAACTCAGTGTCCCCTATCCTTCATATCTCTCAGATTGGCCTCCCTAGTGCGGATCTCTTTGGCCAGAAGAATCCGAGAGCTATAAGCCCTTATGTCTAATTCTCCAGTCTTAATTTTTAAGGACAGTATTTCTGGGCTTTCTTCATTATACCCTAGGGTTACCATATTTTGTGCCTCCCAATGGAGGACACTCCCCGGGGCCCCGGCCCCGCCCCCAGCCCCGCCCACGCCCATGCCCCAACTCCGCCCCCTCCCAAAGTCTCCGCCCCCTCCCCTGCTTCCCGCGAACATTTAATTCGCGGGAAGCCTGAAGCAGGTAAGGGGGGTGGGGAGGAGGCGCGGCCCAGGCTGGCCCCCCGGCGGCTCCAGCCTGGGTCGGCTCAGGCCCTGGGGTGCTGGCCCCGGCCGACCACCCCCAGCGGCCCGGCGC